GATGGCTCTTTGGCACCGCTTGGCCACCTCACGGGCACTGGGCCTGGCACGGCCACCCTTGCTATAGAAGTCGAGGAAGTCATCAATTGTACCCAGCAGGTGATCCTTGGCCAGGCAGGCATTGGCCTCCCACATGCGCTCGGCCACGGCCACCAAATCCATGGGGATATTGTGGGACTTCTTCTTTGTCCCCTTCAGGGCAGCCTCGATGACCCTAAGCAGGTACTGCAGCTCCCGGGGGAACGCGGTGGCTTTGTCACACGCGGACATCAAGCACTGCAGCAGCCCCAGGGCTGCCCACATCCGCTGTGTCACCATGATGGCCCTTGTTGCCTCGCTGGCAGCCACCATGGCCTCTCTCCTCACCCAGACGTCATGCCCGGCCACCACCTCGGCCCCCTCCTCCCTGCCCAGGGCTTGAACCAACTCCACCATTTGTTCCTCAGATGTCCCATCACGGGCAGCCTTGGCCTGCAGCTCCCTGACCCGGGCGGTCATTGCCTCAGTGGCCATCCTGCAGGTGTCACGGAGCTTGGTGGCCTTCCCGGTCAGCCGGGCCCACCTGTCCACAAGCACAGACACTGAGTGATGCCACTTTGGGACCGCCATTGTCACATGGTCCTGGGTGGTCCATAGGATGCTCCTGAGGGCAGCCAGGGCCTGGGTCAGGAAGGTGGGCATGCCATAATCACCACTGGTGACTTTGTGGCACCTCCAGGTGTCATCAATGTAGTGCAGGGTGGCCCGCAGCTCCTTGGTGAATTCCTCCAGGTCCCTGCGCAGGTGCTTTGGGGACTCGAGCAGCATCTCCTCCTCCTCTTGCGTGGGCAGGGTGTCCAGCAGCTCACCCAGGGTGGCCACCACGGTGACCTGTGGCTGCAGCAGGGCTGGGGACATCTGTGGAGGGACAGGGGAGGTGTCAGGGACCTGGTGGCATTTGTGGCCTACTGGGGTGGTCCCAGTGCCCTCAAGGGTTCCCCTTTGTCCTCTCTGTCCCTTTTTCTTCCTCTCAGCCTCTTGCTGTCACCCCTACCAGCCCCTC